AAATGCAGTTTGAAGAGTTTCTCAACCCCTCTCCTGATAGGGAAGTATCTCCATTCTAAAATTTCGGTTTGTTTCAATGGTCATCTGTTTCAAGTAGTTTGCTAATCATCAAAAATCGGTCAATAGATATGATTAAATATTCTGATGCAGACGGCTACGGCAATGAGAGAGTGGGAGTCGCATATTTTTTAGACAAAAAATGTTGTATGCCCTTTGACTGGACATCTTGTGTAAAATATTAGTGTTTTGGTGCAACCAAATCATCTTCATAGATGTTTTTTCGGCTATTGATCGCATTCGGCAATTGCGTACAACATACAAAAACAATCCCTCTTATTACACCCACACAATAACATTTCGGACACCGGCGCGAGGCCTAAGTTCTATGTCTTTAGTTGCCTTACCCTTTCGCCCAACTAGCATTTTCATATTTTATAATAGTTTCCAAAACGTTTCCGGCACATAAATTATAAAACAACATTACTCTCAGAAACGTTTTCAAAATGTGTATAAGACGGCTATAAATATAAAATTGGCGCCACTTTATCAAGCATTTCAGTTTTGGTTAGTAATTTTGTAAAAGCTTTTGAAACATAACAAAATTATTGTATAAACATTTCGTCAAATCGTATAAAAACTTTAAAAAAACATTATACCTACAACAGTTTTGTTAAAGAACACACGATGTTGTCTTCCCCAATTAAATTTATATTTCTGCTATGTTATTATAGTTGTTGCAGATTAAGGTGTACATTGTACAATGGCTGACATATGTTTCGGTCTGGTTATAAGCAGACCATTTTCAAAGCAAACTACAAGAATGTTACAATAATTAAACGGTTATTATAAAATTGTAAAATTACTTACTTATTAAACGGCGACAGTTTTGTTAAAGATTTTTATAGGACGCTATATAAAATATACTTTATAAACGTATATAAACATTTCTATAAAACAACTATATTACATCTTTATAATAGTGTCACAGAAATAATTATAAAATAAAAATGTTTTTAATGATGTTCTGAATTGCTGCAACAAGCAATTTTGATTTGGACAAAGGGAAATTGAACGCCCCGTGACAATAGCAAACAGCCATTTTAATTTTTTTATCTATAATTTAGAAACTTATTTGTGCTACAGAGTATAAAATTTTTGATGCCAGGGAAATTTTATTGTGAAATATATACCATATATCTAACAACATTTAAGCGCAGCCTGTATTTTCCAGTGTTTTTTCAAATAACCCAAAAAATCATCCTCCTCAATATGATAATTTTCTACTTACTGGTTGCAGTGATAACTGTTGATAATTTTTACATCTTTACCTACCGCAAATGTCACTATAAGTGTGATATTTAGTATTTTCAATTCAACGAACTACGATTTCATTGGTTGCACCCATTTTAAAATGGTGTTTTCTATAAAATAATTCACTTTTAGGCGCAACCATTATAAAACAATTTAAATTACTAGGCAAATATTGTGTTCAGGACCTCTTAATGAACAAGCGGTGAAAAAACCAACTGTTTCGTGTTTATAGTACTAAGAGCGCCTATATTGCTAAATGGCAACATTTTTGCTAATTCACGATCTTTTGGCGACTGTAAAAGAGAGATTTGTTGCCCTTGATACATTTTAATACGGCACGCGACTTTTAATAATAATAATAATAATAATGACATTTATTGAGTTTTAAGTAAGACAGTATTTTAACCCATTTATAAAAAAAAGAACAACTCAATAGGGCGGAGTTCAGACTAGACCTACCAAGATAACCCCGTCTGCTCTACCACTCAACCCTTCAACAATATGTATTAATTACAGTGACAAGAACAGCTGTTATTAAAGACCCGGTAATGAGAGAGAGAAAGAGATAACTATAACTAAGAGTGAAAAGCAAAAGCGCAGACTGCTATCTATAGCTAAAGTACAAAAATTTATACAAAAAGTAAAGAAAGAATGGTGTTGCTAAGCATGTTTCTGTCTTTAAAGGAGTATGAGGTACAATTTCTTTTTGAATGCATAAGAAGATAATTGTTTTAAATCAGTTGGCAATTCATTGTAGAGGTTGGCTATATTATAACTGAAGGAACGTTTAAAAAGTGTCGTTTTATGGTGGGGTATCGTTATTGAAAGCTTATCCCTAATATTTAAATCGTGAACGGAGCTCCTAAAGATTACTTTTTCAAATAAATATGTAGGTTCTGGTTTGCAGTATGGTATGGAACAAACAAGCGGAATGCAACAATCTCCTATTACTCATGTTTAGCCAATTCAAGTTCGTTAGCTTATGTGTCACTCGGTCGTATTTACGTATTCCAAATATTAGGCGAAGGCAAGAGTTTTGCATCTTTTGAATTCTCAAGGAATCTCTTTGGTCAATACATGGACCATACACACAGTCACAGTAGTTAAATTGCGATAATACCAATGCTTCACATAACATTATCTTAATGTTACGATTGATAATGAACCTACTATTAAATATGATCTTAAGATTAATAAAAGCTTTGTTAACAACTAGATCAATGTGTCTTTTTAAGCGTATAGCTTAGAGTCTAACATTAAACCAAGGTTTTTATACTCATCAACGATTGGTAATACCGTATTTTTTAACCTAACCATTAATGCATGCTTGTACTTGTCAACAATTAACGATCTACCGAATAACATAACAGCTGATTTTTTACAATTGAGCTGTAGTCCATGCTTTTCAGAGGTTTTCAGAATGTTAGATAAATCAGCGCTGAGATGCATATTCACAGTGTCCATATCTAGGCATGCATTAGATGTTTTATATAAGAGTTGCGTATCATCAGCATACATGTGATATGTACAGTGCTTTAGACATTTATGAAAATTTGAAGTGTATAAAATATATAATAGGGGTCCTAACACTGATCCTTGAGGGACACCTGTACGTACTGCTATAGATTGGATACACATTTATTAAAAACTACACGTTGAGTTCTATTGCTAATGTAACTTAAGATAAATTTAGCTGCTGAACTACCAAAACCACTATAATTTAAAATTGCGAAAAGTATATCGTGATTAATTCTGTCAAAGGCTCTGGAGTAATCCAACAAAACGAGAACTAAGATATTTTTACTATCAATAGCAGTATATTTTTGAAGCAGATCCTTAGTAATATTGGTGGTTTTTTCGAGTCATTTATTGTGTCTAGATTTGTTTCATATACTCTATTTTTTACAAATCCCCATCACAAGAAAAAAAATCGAGTGGTTTAAGATCGGGAATGTGTTTCTGGTGAACCTGGACAGGGGCTGCAATTTAAAAATGTAGGGGTTATTACCCCCCAACAAAACTCTCCAGTGTATGAAAGTTCTAAATCATCTAAAATCCAATTTTTATGACCCGATATCTTCATCGCGAAATTTTCAGATTTTTTCCTTGAAGTTTTTATATAGCTCCATCCAGGAAACCCTGTATAACTACGTACTTACTTATATATTATATACTGTCTGAACTGTGAGTACAATAATTTCTCTCCAGTAGCGAATATTTTAGAAATCGCGATAGACATAGATGCGCCATAAAAATCGGCGATAAGAAACGAATGCGGATATCACCGTTTGTATTTATGGTGATAACGATGTGAGTGATGTGACGTATTCTTTCCGGGAAATATGACATAGAACATTCTAGAATACTGGTTTGGAAGCGTTCGAAAACTTTCGAGAAGCAGGGGTGTATGCCATATATAAGCAAATCGAATTGTGTTTCAGTCAGTTCCGCCGAAGTAGTAAATAGTTCGCGCTGTTGTAAGTTGTGTATATTTAAGTGATAAATAATATTTTAACCAAATTCATTTCAAGACTGTCATCAATTTATTATTAATTAATTGTAAATAAATAAACCACGTAATTAAATTTACGTTATAGTACGCGTTGTTTCCTATGTAAATGTACTTATTTTATTTTGTCATGATAATTTCGTAAAAGTTGGTTTATTATTGACTATTAAAAAATCTGATATGGGGCGCAAAATCCGTTATCGAATCTTCACCGTCACAATCAGTGATCAAAGCCAATTTTTCCTCCACGCGGAATGCTCAGAAACACATGAATGTCTGGTGGAACCTGGAACAAGAGCTACGGCATCTTCATTTTGAATACTGAGACCACTATGTCCTTGCACACCCTCTAAACTTCTCTGCTTTTACAATGACATGAATGTTATCAGAATGTGAAGGCTGGTAGGATGACATAGTACATTCGTCTGTCCCTGACGGATCATTTGCGATGTAGTTATGTTCAAATATTGGTGGAAGAGTCTCACGTTCATAGGGAGGTAAAATTCATAAATAAGTATCTTTCAGCTGAGCTTCTATATCTGCACGGAAAAAATTCCTTCGTGATTGGTACCTGGAGAGCACCTCTTCCCCAATTTCTAAGGCCAAGTGGATGTATCTTTCGTAAACAATGTGAAGTTGCAAAACCTAGTACTTATTAAAAAATGATATGTTGGAAATACCTACTAAAAAATTTATTAACTATACGTACTTGTGATTTTGAAGCTGCTACTTTTAGTTCAGCATAAATTATTGAAAGCCATGTTTTTAGGAGAGGACTAGTCTGACCATCCGATTTTTCAGTATTTCTTATCGCATTTGAGAGACAATATGGTACAAAATGTCGCCAGTAATAACATGAGAAGATGCAACTCTACGGCTTAAGTGATAAACATACTGAGAGAGATTCTGAATTTTCTCAATAATTGCGGACGTTAAAGCTTTAACAACAAAACAGTGTTCATCTGCCCTCTAATAAGGTTAATTAGTATTTTGGAAGTAATGATAAAATAAAACAGTTGCAGAGCGATGAAATTATAAAATTACTTTGATGGTTGGGGGGCGGCCGGCATTCAGATCATATTGCAGGATTTACATTGTCATTTAAAAGCCAGCCAACAGAAAAAGGTGTCGATTTGGTTAAAGTGTAATCAATAAAATGCGCAAGTTTCGTATTGTCACCTTTATTTTTCGTCACAAATGGCGAGCGTTCTTCAATATTTATCAAATGAAAATAAATAATGTCTAAAGTTTCGATGCAATTGAAACAGCAAGTTTGCTCAACATTTTGCAATCTCCAATTGGTAGTTAGGATTGGAAATTTAGTCCGCATTATCTTCAAATCTGTCGCCTTCTTCGCATATTTATCAATCAACCAAAAACCACAATTTAACTTTTCCCTATTTCTATTTCTACTTCAAACAATATAATAAATAAATAAAATATATCATTTTGAGTGAGACACTCTTCGAACTGTTTCCTTATAGTAAAACTTTTTAGAGTTTAATTACAATCATGGAACTGTTTACTCCTCAATCTCCAAGTACATCGAAATACGACTAATAATTTACAAACAACATTTGCAATGAAAAACAATGAAGATACTAAAAGGTGGTCAAATTCATCTTTATCTAAAAATACTAGAGCACATCCAAACACACCCACAAATAACAATAAATGTTTTGGTGTACACCTAATGATTTCGATAAAAACAGTGAAGTGTCTATATATATAATATGATTGAATTATGAGGAAGGATGTGTTTACATTTATCTTAGTACATTCATATCTCTTAATAATACATGAAAATATGATTTCTAGTCCGACATGTCCGCCAACGGAACATTTAAAGAAACATAATCATTAGCGCCAATCTCTTTTCTCCAATGTCACGAATTTAGTGCTACCCTACTTAATCATCTTTTTCTGATATCCAACCATATACCATTTGCACTGGTAGTAATAAGAGCTTTTGGTTTAATAGTTATTGGTATTTCTGTTAGGTGATTAGTTGAAAATTCAAAATTAAGGAGTAATTTCGCCAAACATATTTTACTCTTCATCATTCCATACTTCTTACCTAAAGAACGCCTTTTTTGTTATATATTCGATCTAGTAAAGTAATTTCTCACCTATGCACATTCGAGGACCAAAGCCAAAAGGTGTAAATGCACATGGATGGCGACCGGCACTGTTTTCCTTTGTAAACCGTTCTGGATCAAACCGCTCTGGATCGGGAAATATTGTTGGATCCATCTGGGAACCGCTAGTTGGCACGAATACAAGTGTTCCCGGTTCCACAAGAATGTCTGTGTTAGGAATTATGTACGGTTTGGTACACTCTCTACTGTGAGCAGGAGTTGGAGGATATTTGCGCAGAGTTTCTGAAAGAAGACAATGTAAAAGGTGTGTTTGCGAAATGCTCACCTTTGAGGCATTGTTCGAGGTAAATCAATTCGTTAACGACATCGTAGCAAAAAAGGTCATTGTGCAATGCTAGAGCATCGACTACCTCGCGCCTGGCACTTTCTTGTACATCTGGGTTAAGCGCGAGTTCATATAAACAAAATGAAATTGTAGAAGCTGTGGCCTCGTAATCCGCAGTGGCTATGATAAGACAATTTGCTGCCACCTGAGAGGCAGTTAGTAGAGGTTTGATTTTATTCTCTTGGAGAAGTTTGTCGCTGGTTTCATTTATATCGACGTTATTTCTCAACTGAATGAGTAAATGTATAAGATCGTCACGGACGATATTATTTTCTTCTCTAAATTTGATGATGTCTGCGGACAATTTTAAGAAATAGTCGCCCACGTCTTTTCTTACCGATCTCACTCGAAAGTATGTGAGCATATTAGGATTAAAGAACGTTAGCAATGTGATTAACAAATCTAACGAGGACTTATGAAAGAAAGATTTCAAATAGTGCTCAAATTCGGTGGTGACACCGTGTATTTGATCATTTTCCATACCAAAAATGGCGGCCTCTGTCAAACGAGCGACATACTTCTCTACCACCTCACTTATTTCAATAGTTTTCTTGTCACGATAATTGTTGGTTAATTCTTCAATTAGTTTATCCGTATATGCCAGCACTTTCTGGCTCATCATTTTGCTTTTTGCTATAGAAAAAGCCGGAGTGAGTTGCGTACGTAGCTGCTTCCACTTTTCTCCTTTGGCCGATGCTATTTGGTCACTTAGCGGATCTGATTCGTGGTTATGAAATATGCGATCGGTAAAATGCTCAAAATTGGTACTTATAATGTCTTTAATTAAATCTAAATCCGCGAGCACCAGACAAGGTTTCATCATAAAGTAGAATCCGCTCATTTTTTGTGAAGCCCGTCGGCAGTCGTCATAAACTTCCCTATACAAATCTCGAATTGCAACTTTGCCTGTAAATAAATGCTTTGCGTTTCCAAAAATTATGTGCGGTTTAGAAGACACGTAAACTCCCTTTTTTCTCCAGTAAGTGTAAAGGTGCTTCAGATACAATACTATACCAATTACACTTAACACTAGCAAGAACAAAATTTCGTAAAATAAACCCATTTTTCACTAATTTTGACACACGCTGCACGGGAATGTTTAAAATACTTCGCTCAATGCGTATTGATTAACAAATATCTGTTTTGACGAACGAAGATATCTTCTAAAACATTGCACAAATTACTATACCTAATCATAAGTGATGATAAGAAATATTCATTTACGCACTTGATACTTTTGCTTGAAATCTAATATTCTTGCCTAATAAAGTATTAAAATCTCTGTTTCAACATTGATTTTTATCATGAGTATACACTGATGTTATTATGGTATATCGATTCAAAATTTTCCATCAGATGCCTTGCTTAAAAATCATCCACCTCTATGATCAAAAGTTTCGATTTCTTAGATTTTCATATAGGTATTGAAACTTCCGGTATGACATTTGGTTTAACTGGAAACCGATGCAACTTTTCCGTTTCAAACGGAAGGCCTATGTTTTTTTAAGAGCAATCAACATAAAATGTGCGTATGGTTGATACACAAAAAATTGATAATATTAAAAAAAAACGATTTCCAGTTAAACTGGAAGTGAGACCGGAAGTTTCAACACGCGATCGAATATATCGTAATGTCGTATATAAAATTATATTTGAATCTCGCCAAATAAAAGAGATATTGAGGTGACCCTCTCATCCCGAATGCACTGTATTTGTTTAAAGAAAAATTAATTTTTTCTACAACTGTCAAAAAAAATCCAAATCTGTAACAGATAACACCACAAACAAACAAATAAAAGGGGTAGTGAATAGTGCGGTACAAAAAATATTGCGAAATAGCAATTTTAACGTCTGACACTGATCAGGTAAATCATATACTAAACCGTAATTAATCTAAATACTTACTTAAAAAAAATTCGAATAACTTTACACTGGTAAAAGTAAAATTTTGATCGACCCCGGATTATTCATACAACATCTGTATAAAAGCATAAACGTGAAAATTACTAGTTTCTATATGACAGCAATGTAATCTAATTAATTAAAAATGTACATCAGGTAGCATGAACAAATTCTTCGGAATGAAACAAATAACGCAGGAAACAATCGTTGGTATAAGTCTCGGACTAAATCTCGGTAACTTCAAAAACTAATTTACAAAGTCACGGTAGATAATATCTCAAATAACACAGCTAATCTGAAGGATACAATGTAATCAAACTAACCGAAATGAATCGTAGTAACAAAAGTAATTCTTTGTAGCGAAGCAAGTAGCGTAATATTTTCAGTGATGAACGCCTTCCGGTTAGAACGGACGTTGACGTTAAATGTGGATTGGTATACGTGCAGTGGCGTAACTTCATTTTAGGGGCCCCGTCTTCAAAAATATTTGGGGGCCCTTTCCCTTACGTTACGCTTAATTTAACCCTTTGGATTTCTAATGGCAACCATCTCACAAATATAAATGAAAATTCACTAGAAATACACCCCCGAAGATTTAGATTATTTAACAAAGATATCGATCTTCTGACGTTACTCGACTCAGACCCTTTAAAAAAACTTTATCGTTAGTGCTTGCTACAGGAATTGCTTGTGAAGGCTTCAGGAGTCGATTAATTTTAAACAATTTATTTCTTCGCTGTTCAGCGTTTTTTTTTGCTTTTCTCTTAGAAATCCCACTTTGGTATTTTCGTCCACTCGGAGATGTCTGATTTCAAAAAAAACTGTTGGCGTAGGTATATAAAGACACCGTTGGAAATACATTAACCTTTAAATACAATGCTGTCATTTTACAACGTGTCACAATTCTTATATCAACTATTTTTAAACAATGTTAGTCTGTATACAGTGAATTTTTTTTAAATGCGAACATAGGAGTTTGTATGCAATGTAATTTGCCTATGTTCGATTTAAAAAAAACACATCAATCTATTGAGTATGTAGTTCAAATGTAGTAGATACAAGTGACAGCTGTCACATTTTTAAAAATACCGCCATTCAATTTAATTACGAAATCGGTTAGGTTAAGGCTTAGAATGTCAAAGAGGACACTTCGAACATTTATTGTAATTGTTTTCGTTATTTATTTTCTTCATTTATGTATTGAATAGATCAAATTAGTAGAATATCAGGTGCACATGAACTACAAATAATTGAAGGTTGGTTCACAATGAGTTGTGGTGTCAGTGCGTGCTCTGTGAGGTCATGTTATCGTAAGTTTAAGAAAAATGTATCCTAAAGTTGCTATGGCCTCACATGACTTCTTTAAACAAATCTTACCAAGTGCTCTTCATCATAAAGACTATAGAATTGCTGTTCATAGTCACACAAGTTGCGCGTTTTGCTGGTGGGAATGTGAACCGCGCACACCTCATAGATTGATGTGTTTTTTTTTAAATCGAACATAGGGAAATTACATTGCATGCAAACTCCTATGTTCGCATTTAAAAAAAAACTCACTGTATGTAGGAAATAGTGTCTTGATTTAGCTTTGCTGATTTTGCATTTTGAAGTTCCTACAGGCCCATTGTAAAATTGAGACTCACTTTGTTTTCTGCGTTCAGTCACGGTTCAGTTGATTTTGTTCGAACTTTAATTGTCAAGTTTTGTAATATTTGCGCCATTACAAAAGGTAATGCACATTTTAACTGTAATTCTTCGTTTTATTGTAAATTGTATTGCCTTCACCTCCTTGTAAACTAGCGGTAGCTGACCCTTGAATTTGTTTGTTATTTGCTTGTTTCACTTTACCTTAATGTTATTCTCATTTTGATTTGTTTAAGATTGGCCAGTTGTTAATGTTTTTTTGATGCTTAAACTCGTTGAGTTTGATTAGCTATTTTAATTCTTTGTGTATGAATCTGCGTTTTTTGACGTGCATGCTGGAGTGTTAAAATTACATTATTCTCGAAATACAACTTCAGTCTAAGGTTACCGTAGCCGGGACCTTCAGATACCTTCTGGATTGAAGAAGATCCCGCTAATTAACAAAGTATTTCATGTACTTTATGTAAGAGAATATTATTTTTCACAACTGAGAAAGGAGTGGAGTTGCTTTTAAATCTTTTTGAGCTGGCTACTTTTGAGCATATCAATGTTTGTATTAGATTAAAGCCAGATATAAATTATTCAAATTCAAGAGTTACTTCTTCGGATTGTCAATTTTTCTATATTGTAGATATTGCTTCAAATTTTACACCTATATTTACCCTTTGTGAACAATGATTCGGAAGTTTCTTCGGCTCGGTTATTTTGTCCGATGAGTTCTACACGGCATGGCTTTGGCTTTAAATGCATTCTGTCTAAATTTGTAGGAGCTCTTTCGGCATTTCGTTTCATTTTACACTTTTAAATAAACTTTCTTTTGCTATTCAAATTCACTATTTATTTATTTCCAAATTAAATTGTTTGTACATTTTTGCCGAGGCCCTTTTTAAGTCGGAGCCCGTCCTCATTGCGTAACTTTAAGGCATTGTAGTTACGCCACTGTATAAATGATCATAAGACTAAACCGAAGAGTTTTTGAATTTTCCGAGTTTTTTCGAAAAATGTTAGCAGATAGGAACATACTTTTTCATTATGCTTTTTAGCCATGGATTTTTTGAAGGACACAAAGACTTTTTCGGAGCCCGTCCTCATTGCGTAACTTTAAGGCATTGTAGTTACGCCACTGTATAAATGATCATAAGACTAAACCGAAGAGTTTTTGAATTTTCCGAGTTTTTTCGAAAAATGTTAGCAGATAGGAACATACTTTTTCATTATGCTTTTTAGCCATGGATTTTTTGAAGGACACAAAGACTTTTTCGGAATAAAACTTGTGTAAGTCTATAATAAAAATCCTTGCTAGAATGTTGACCAAATCTTCTGTAGACAGTGGAAACCTTTGGGCACTGGTGCTTCTCGACTATTGTTAATGAGGAATGGGGGTTTACAGTATAGTTGAATTCCGCAGTTCTAATTTACTAAGCGTGTACCTGAAACCATAAAACATTTTTTTGGACAGTAAAAATTTATTTAAAAATAGAGGCTGATTAGCAAAAAAATAATGAACATGTGCGGTTTTAAAGGTTTATTCAAAACGATATGATTGTGACGGGCTTGTGTGACGTAATAAACCCGACCAATCAGCTCTTAGAACCATTCAGATGACATAACGACTTGGAAATATTGCAGGAGAATGGCATTTATAACTTGCGTCATCTGTCACAGGCACTTGTCACTTTCGTGCTAGATGCAGTTAAACATCCCTCTCAAAACGTCAAATGTGACAAACGTCAGACCCTCGCGTAAGGTTGCCAGCTCACTTCTACGTGATTGGTTGTAGGTTTGTGACGTATTTAGTCTGAAGCGTTTCAAATTCGGACTAAAAACACAGCTTTTCAATAATTTATTTTGGGTTTATTTTACTCGCAAATAAAAATGGAGGACACACGGGTCTTTTTATTTTTAAGGTACTTTGTGGATCAGAAATAAAAAATGAAGGCGGGATGACCCCATTTGCTACTTTCACTTTGATAAATAATACACTTTTAGTTACTTGCGCAAAACTAATGCGTGCACGTAGATTTAGATGTTTCAACTATCTAAATTTTAAGAGGTTAAAGAAAAACAGCCACAAAAGTTAAAGTTTTAGTTTTTACCTAATTGGGGTGAGTTTCATTTGGCCCTTCCCTGCACCACCGGCCACCCCATTCATTATTTAACGATTAACATCACAAGTTTTCGCCGAAAAAATGAAAGGTGAGATCAGATTTAACATTAAAATACAGTCAGCTCATTTACAATTAGATGAATATTATTCTTATTAGCACTCCTTTGCTTGAAGGTAGATGGCAACAACTGTTTTTTGGAGGAATGTATCTCATAGGTAGTTACAGTAACATGGGGAGTACCTCAGGGATCCGTTTTGGGCCCGTTCCTGTTTTTGAAATATATTTCCCCTTTTGAAAACAGTGTGAATCATACAATTTCACCAGTACGCCGGCAAGGTACCTCCGTGTGGTGGATGCGAATCCCTGAAAATACGCATTTGTGCTATTTAACCCACAAAAACCTAGAAATGTGATACATTTCACTATTCAGTGTTCTGTGCTAAATGGTTCCTAATGCTTTTTAAAAACCGGAAACTGGAAAGATTATAGAAAACGTGAGGGATATAAAAATAACTGTT